TGCTCCCGCCTTGCTCCCGCGAGGTTTTAATGTCATGTGACATGGTGACGTTTTGCAGCGCCGGCGAAAGTCGGACACAATTTCTAACCAGCATTCCTTGTTTTAAGTCCAGCATGCATCACGTTAAGTCAGCGCTGCGCAGCGCCGCGTGAAGTCAAACGCACCTATTACTTCCTTTTTGTTTTTTGTTTATTGAGGTGAAGATTTACAACAGTATCTGGCACAGATCACCAAATATCAGTGCTAACAGGAAACGGAGCACATACGCTTTAGGAAGAAGAAAATAAATTAAAAGAGAAGAAAATATGTACGTAATAGTACAAACAAACAAAAAAAAGACAGGCTAAAGAAACAGTAGTAAAACAGTTATGGGGCTTCAGATCATTTTAAGGCATCACTAAAGTTTTTTAGCTGTTTTCTTCTTCATGAACAACAGGGACTTGTAGTATAATACAAATTCTTTCTTGAGGACAGTAAAAAGAGGCTGTGTTTTCAAACATTTACATTTGTGGATGAAAAATTTACCCGAGATAATTAAAGTGTTTAAAAGCAGTTCATAATTTTTGTCCTTCATTATAATTCCAAATGTGATGTTATCGCTAGTGAACCTGGAGAGAGACCTGGAGATCCAGCCAATCATACATGTCACACCAGAAAGTGTTCCTGTAAGGACAGAAGAAAACCAAATGATATGTGGTCTCCATGTCCTCATCACAGAATATACAGTTAGTTGGATCAATGTTAAATCTATGTGAGAGGAGATCTCTTAATGTGTCATTAAATACTTTGAAGTGAAGCTCTTTAGCTTTTGGTGATAAAGGTAACTTTAAGAAGTCTGTGCGTAGTTTCTTCAGAGAAGAATGAAAATAAGAGAGGCAGCATTTCGGCTGCAAGTCAGAGTGAAGAGATCACAGAACACTTTGTTTCTACAGAACTGGTGACCAGCAATCATCAGTGAAGGAAGAAGACGGGGGGTTGAACATATGAGATTAATTTTTTTTTTGAGATGCATTTTTTGCCATCAAAAGGAAGGCAGATGGGATGCTTTGGATAACCGTGTCATAATGTTTACAATCACACTGGATATTAAGTTTTGTACCGAAATCTTCAAAAGATAAAACATTTCCATAGTTGTAAATGTGTGACAGATAAATATTGTTTTCCATCCAATCGTTGAGATACAGGGACTTATTTCTAAAGAGAATGAATCTGCGGTTCCAGGTGGGTATGTTATGGGGAGTAAAATTGTGTTTGTACAGGAGTTTCCATTATAACAGAACTTGTGAATGAAACTCAGACAGTTTTATAGAAAGTTTTGGAACATCAAAATCACAGCGCAAAAAACAATTCCCTGGACACACAATACCAGAAACTTCCACTGTTTGCTAGAAGGCATCTTAACCATTTAATCCTTAAGGTTCCATTTATACACTCAAAGTCTGTGGCTTGTAGCCCACCATCTTCATAGTCTTTCACTAAAGTCGCTTTTTTCAGATAATGGGGTTTTCTTTTCCAGATGTAGTCAAAGTTTAATGTATTGATGGTTTTGACAGCTTTGCTGGGGATGGACAGAGAGTAGGCTGGATAAATGCATCTTGAAAAACTTTCCATTTTGGTAATATAAATGCGACCAAACAGAGAAAGATCTCTATTTAACCATCTGTCTAGTCTTGCTTTACATTCATCCAATTTGTTCCATACATTTAAAGATTCACTTAACTTAATATCTTTGGTTATATGTATGCCCAAGTATTTCACTGCAGTTTTAATAGGGATACCATATGCTGCCTCAAGGTGGCAGTCATGTATAGACAACAGCTCACACTTTTTCAGGTTCGCTTGTAACCCGGATGTCTTTGAGAATGAGTCTATAGTTTCAGTTTTCTTTGGGACCTGCTCAACATTTTTAAGAAACAGAGTGGTGTCGTCAGCCAGTTGACTTATAACTATTCGGCTATCAAAGACATGTAACTGCTCGATATCTGAATTTTTGATGAGGATTGACATTCAACATTCAACAACATTTCAGCTGTTATTATGAAGAGTGAGGGTGAGACGTTGCAGCCTTGTTTTATACCTCTGTTGTTGATATTGAAGCGAGGCGTGGTGCCACCTGGGAGAGATATTGAGCTGAGTCTCGTAATAAAAACATTTTATAGTGTTTCTGAATTTTTCCCCCAAACCACAGAGTTCCAGAGCCTTAAAAATAAAGGGGTGTTCTGTCGTGTCAAACGCCTTATTAAAAATCCATAAAGAGAATAAAGCCGTCGTCCTTTATATGCTCATTATATTCAAGTAAATCAAGGACAAGGCGAACATTATTGTGTATTGATCCACCTCTCATAAATCCTGATTGGGTGTCACTTATTATTTGAGGAAGACCCTTTTGAAGACGATTTGAAAATATGTGTGTTAGTAATTTATAATCATTTTAAATAGTGTAATCGGTCTCCAGTTGTCCAAGAATTTGGGATCTTTGTTTGGTTTTGGAATTAGAACAATTGCCTCAACGTCTGTGGAAGTGAGCGGTTGTTTAAAGCTTCTTTAAGTGTTTCAAATAAAAGTACTTTGATATGCTCCCAGACATGTTTATAAAAGTTGGCTGCGAGGCCATCTGGACCAGGGGAGCGGTCCGAAGTCAAACATTGCAATGCCTTTTCAAGCTCGTTATACGTGATCTCTGACTCACATGTGATTTGGAAGTCCTCATTTATTTGGGGAATAAAACCTCTGATTTGGTGAAAGAAGGCCTCTGTTGCATCAGCTGAGAATCTAGAAGAATATAATTTGCTGTAAAAGGAATAAACTTCATTGGTTATAGTTCCAGTGTTTCTGTTATTTCTTTCCTGGCGGGTTTTCTTTAATCTACAGAAATAAGAAGAGTTTCTCTCTCCTTCTTCGATCCACTTTGGTCTGGATCTGATGAAGGCTCCATTTGCTTTTCTTGTATATTTATTATCTAATTTGGTTTGTATTGTAAGTAGTTTCCTTTTGTCAGTATCCGTAAGTGTGGGTTTATTACAGCAGAGACTTTTCTCTCTTGTCAAATTGGTCTCTTCTAAAAGGGCAGATTGTTGCAATTGTTTACTCTTATTTTGAAATTTAAGTATTCCCATTTAGAGCTATAAGACAGAAGGTTGGGGTCTTGAGTAATTTCATAAATTATGTCTTTAATCCCTTGGCCATACAGTTGGGACTGTAACAAGCTGGCCTTGAGTTTCCAGTAACCCTTGTTTCGTTTGTGATAATTACTGGGTTTTAAGGTGAGATTAATAAAGCAGTGGTCAGACAGGGGAGCAGAAGATATAGAGCAGTCAGATACTAAGTTTTTTTAAGTTGGGGTGTATAAAGCACCAAGGGTCAGACAGATCATGAGCTACAGAAACTGACAGAGACGCAGAGGATCCAGTGACCATCTGTGCTCTTTTTGGATGTCGCTATCTTCCCAGGGAAGTTGTTCAGAAGGACAGCGGTACCTGCAGAACGATTAGTTACATGACAAAATAAAATATTATCCCCATTGATTGGACCAAAATTTTTCATCCGTATCAGTGGAGTGAGTCTCTTGCAGCAGGACACAGTGTGGTTTCTTACTTTTACACAAGAGAAAAACTGCCTTTCGTCTGATACTGTCTCTAAGGCCCCTTGCATTGAACGAAATGAAACAGAAATTAGAAGCAACAGTTAACATTAGACAATAACCTCCCACTTAGGAATAACAACACGAGGTCTGTCAGCAGGAGAAAAACTGCTTTGGAATGTGAACATAAGGCAACGTCCCCTTGAAAACAGTCAACTTGGAAGTCCTTCGTAGGAATTTAAACAAGTGTCTTCACGTTAGACAGTGAAGAGTTAGTGAAGCGTTGCGAGAGTTTGGCTAAGGAGCCACAATTCTTTTCCCATTTATGTATCCAGATGGGCCCCTGAAGTAGCTGACCTGCTTCTCTGGCCTGCTTAATCTGAGGCCACACCGCTGCTCTTGCCTCCCGGGCAGCTGGTAGAATGTGCTCGGCGAAACTTACATTCAGCTCCTTGCACGCTGCAGATCTCTTGGTAAGACGCCAGAGCTCATCTCGGTAGTGCCTCATGGTGAACTGCATTATCACTTGCCGATACTTGGCTTCCTCTCTTTTGCCCAGGCGGCGCACGGAGTCGACGATACCGTCCATCTTCTCAGCCCAATGCGGGAGCGATTTTGAGTAGGATCTGTAACACCCTCTCTCTCGTGTTTTCATTTTCTTGCTCTTTCATCAGTTTCAGATTCCAGCGCCGTTTGTAACGCTCTAGTTCCAGGACTCTCTCTTGTAAAGCGACGTTCTCTGTTACCAACCTTTTCATCACCTTTTCCAAAGCAGGAGTTTTGGATCGGCGGTCTTTTATTTCTTTGGAATTAAACTCCACGCTCTTGGCCACTTGTGCAATCATGGCGCTGTTGTTTTTCATTTGCACATTGAGTTCTTGTAACATGGCGAAGAGGTTGTGAACCGCTTCGAGTATTGTAGCGTTGGATACCTCTGCTTCGTTTTTAGATTTCTTAAACAAGACAGGTATTTTAGTAGGGGTGTCGGGAAGAGGACCATGCTGTTACCATTGGCATCAGAGCAGTAGTCATGAGGGAAAAGTGATGTTGCTGCATCAGCTTTCTTCATCTTGTTAGATAGCGGCATTTCCGGGTGTGGAATCCACGATGAGTAAGCCAGATGGTTGACGTATCCACGTTGTCACGATCCTGTCTGCCTTGTCATGTTTTGTACTCAGTCAGTTTTATTATCTGTTGTTTTGGTCTGTTGGGTTTTGGGGGTCTGTCTTGTCTGTCGTCTAGTGTTCGGTAATCCTTGTCATGTCTGTTACCCCAGTGATCCCTCTGCATGTCTGTCTCTGTTTTCCCCTGCTCTCTCTCTCCCCTGCCTGTGCCTCGTTAGCCTCATGTCTTTCACCTGTGTTGCTCCCGCCCTGCTCGTTAGTCCCTGTGTGTGTATATATACCTGGTGTTTCTGTCTTGTCTTTGTTGGGTCATTGTATGTTGTCACCCTGTGTAGCAGTGTGAGTTTCTTGTGTTGGCAGCCTCACTCGTTGTGTCTGCGTGTTTCCCTGCTCATTTTGGTTTTTGGTTTTTGGTTTTCACCCTTTTGGATTTCTGTTGGACAGCCTTTGTCTTTGGACTCAGTCAATCAGCCACTCTGTTTGTAAGTGTGCTCGCTTTTTGTTTGTTAAATAAATCACAGACTGTGTGTTTATGGCTTCATGGAGAAGACCCTGTGCAGCAAGCCAAGGCTGCTGAATCTCCCCTCCCTGGCTGAGCAGTTGGTCGTCATCAGATGGATGAAGAGAGACCTGGAGCAGATAATGGACACTCCTGAGGGTTTACCACCTGGTGGCGCTAGAGCTGCTAGCCGCCAACCGGATCCCCGGCCCGCTAGCACTGCTAGCCGCCAACCTGATCCGCCAGTCTCCATCTCGGCTAGCGCTGCTAGTCCTCAGCCTGTCCCCGGTGCTGCTAGATCCAGTGCGTCTGTTCCCCAGCCTGCTAACCCCGAAAGGACTTGTTCCCGGCCTGCTAGCTGCTGGGTGGGAGGCCTGCTAGCACCTAGCCTGCTAATCGCCCGCCTGATTCTCTGCCGGCTAGCGCTGCTAGCTGCCCGCCTGGTCATCTCCCTCCTGTGTTGGCTCCATCATCCGGACTGGTTGGGGACTCCTGGACATCTAGCTCTCTGGGTTTTTTTTGATGGACTTGGCGTTAGAACCAGAGAGCCCTAGGACTGCTAGTTCCCAACCAGTCAGCCAACCAGCTCTGAGTTGACCAGCTAGCCTATGGCCCGATAGCCTGGAGGCTAGGCTTCCCCCGGAGTTCTCCTTTAAAGGGAGTTGCCTGGTGGTCATCGGAGGCGACCAGGTCACCAGCAGCGACCCATCTGCAACCAACGTGATCCGAGGCCCGCTAGCGCCGCTAGCTGCCTGCCTGATCCCCGGCCCGCTAGCTGCCTGCCTGATCCCCGGCCCGCTAGCTGCCTGCCTGATCCCCGGCCCGCTAGCGCTGCTAGCAGCCTGCCTGATCTCGATCAGACTCCTGTTCACTCATCGGTGGTCCAACCAACACCAGCTCCGTTGGTGGTCCAGCCGATTCCTGTTCCTAGTGCTCCATCAATGGACCGACCCGCAGCAGCTGAAATACCGTGTGCTCAGTTCGCCATCTTGCCGGAAGTCGCACCTATTACTTCCAGCGCCCCCCATCGTCCTCGGAATGCCCCTGTTGAGAAACACTAACAGGATTTCTCCAGCTTTAACTCATGAAGGGCAAAAACTTAATAATGTCTTGTTTTATCAAACACCTAGTTAACATTTATTTGTGATGAAATTACAAGTCATCGTCTCCTGACAAATACAACAAGCTCTGAGGCAGCTGCCCTGAACTGCAGTCCATGTAGGCTATTTGAGCCAGAGGCCGACTTTGCAGGAGCTCCTGACACACAGGAAGTCAGCTGACTTCCTGTAACTGGAGAGAGAGAAGAAGCGACACTGAAAACAGGGAGGAAGCTGAAGCAGAAAGAGTTCAGTTAGAGTCCCAGAACTGAAGGCTGAGGCAGGGTGAGTGTTAATCCAACATTTTATTATGTTACTGTCAAAGTCTCTGAGGCAGTTTTCTCCCTGTGGACTGGAGAGGAAAGAAACCTTAGAGGGAAAAACAAAAAAGTGAGCAGGTCGAGTTCAGGCTGGTTTTATTAAACTGTCTGCCTGTGTTACTTTCTATTCTCTTGTGACTGTTGAAGGAACTTCAACTGATTCTTGTGTTCTGAGCTCAGTCAGTTTTACTGTTTTACCTCTCAGACTGACTGAAGTCCAGAAGATGAGGAGGACAGAGGAAGAGGAGGACGGAGCAGAGTCTTCAGTATCCAGCTGTCTGTCTATTAAGAGTGACTGGTCCAAAAACTGTCCTCCAGAGTTCAGTCCTGAACCTGAACCCTCAGACACAAAGTAAGCGACTGTTTTTACTGTAAACTGACAAGTGAAGAACAAACATCCACGGGCAGCACTGATGGAAAAGTTAGCAGTGGATGGAAAAAGGGCAGAAAATTGGACCACTTCTCTTTTTACAATATTTGAATAGTTTCCATGTGATAGTTGACAGTAGAGAGTGACAGGAAACAGAACGACATCCAAACAAGGCTCCGTGTGGACTTGAACCTGTGACACCGCTGTTACATGCTGTGTGTTTAGACCACTTCTAAGCTCAGTTCAAAGCTAACTAACTCAAGCTAAGCTGCCCAGAGTGACTGTAAAACAGTGAAGGACATAATCAGCTCTCTTTAATGGAGGCTTTTACTGTGAAGGAGCTGCAGGAAGTGTTGAGTTTGTGTTAATAACAAACTGCAGGCAGATCACTAAATGTTTAATCAGACAGTCAGACAGGAAAAGCAGTTAATTAGTGTTTCTGAGAGCAGGAGAGCTGAAATAAAAGGAACAATCATCTTCATTACTGACTGAAAGCTGAATTCAAACAGAAAAGTAACGACACTTTTACTGTTCTCTGTGACCATCTGAGCTTCTACACAGTGTCGGACACATCTGGAGATTTTTCAACAACAAGCAACAAATCATTTGAGTTCTAAAGAAATGTCTTCACAGAGAGAGGAAGAGGAGTCCTGTTCCTGTGGAGGAGCAGCCGTCCTGCTGTGCTTTGTGTCAGGACGTCCTGAAGGATCCAGTCTCTACCAGCTGTGGACACTGGTTCTGCAGACGGTGCATCACCTCATACTGGGACCAGTCTGCTTCATCAGGACACTCCTCCTGTCCCCAGTGTGGAGACAGAACCAGAGCTGGACTGCAGACAGCCAGTCAGAGCAGCTCTGTACAAAGTAAGACTGGACATCTGTCTGCTTCTTCAGATATTCTGATATTGATGGTTTTTATATTAGTAATGAAAATAATCAGCACATATTCTTTGTTTTATCTCACATTGTTTCTCTTCTTTAGTGAGAGGTGGTCTGCAGGAGGTTTTAGATGAACATAAGATCAGTCTGAGGAGGAGATGTGAACGTGTGACTGAAGGAAGTGATGAAACAGGAAGTGGAACCCTCCTCAACAGGATCTACACTGAGCTCTACATCACAGAGGGACAGAGTGAAGAGGTTAATACCCAGCATGAGGTGAGGCAGCTTGAGACAGCTTCCAAGAAGAAGACCCTCCATGACGCTCCAATCAGGTGCCAGGACATCTTTAAAGCCTTACCTGGCCAACAGAGAGCCATCAGAGTGGTTCTGACCAACGGCGTCGCTGGCGTTGGAAAAACCTTCTCGGTGCAGAAGTTCACTCTGGACTGGGCAGAGGGCTCGGAAAACCAAGATGTCGGTCTGCTGGTTCTGCTCTCGTTCAGGGAGCTGAACTTGATCAAAGATGAGCGGCACAGTCTCCTCACGCTGCTCCATGTTTTCCATCCAACATTACAGAAGGTCCCAGCAGAGAAGCTCGCCGTCTGGAAACTGTTGTTCATCTTTGACGGCCTGGATGAAAGCAGACTTTCATTGGATTTCCACAACAGTGAGGTTGTGTCTGATGTCACACAGAAGTCATCAGTCAACCTGCTGCTGACAAACCTCATCGAGGGGAATCTGCTTCCCTCGGCTCTCGTCTGGATAACTTCCCGACCTGCGGCAGCCAATCGGATCCCTCCTTCGTGTGTCGGCAGGGTAACAGAAGTACGAGGCTTCACTGACGCCCAGAAGGAGGAGTACTTCAGGAGGAGAGTCAGTGATGAAGAGCTGTCCAGCAGAATCATCTCACACATCAAGACCTCCAGGAGCCTCCACATCATGTGTCTAATCCCAGTCTTCTGCTGGATCACTGCTACAGTTCTGGAGCACATGTTGACTACAGAGCAGAGAGGAGAGCTGCCCAAGACCCTGACTGACCTGTACTCACACTTCCTGCTGGTTCAGATAAAGAGGAAGAAGCAGAAGTACGATGAGGGACATGAGACGAGTCCACAGGAGCTGACGGAGGCTGACAGGGAGGTTCTTCTGAAGCTGGGGAGGCTGGCGTTTGAACAGCTGGAGAAAGGAAACATCATGTTCTACCAAGAAGACCTGGAGCAGTGTGGTCTTGATGTCACAGAGGCCTCGGTGTACTCAGGAGTTTGTACAGAGATCTTCAAAAGAGAGTGTGATCTTCCAGAAAACAGTCTACTGCTTTGTTCATCTGAGCGTTCAGGAGTTTCTGGCTGCAGTCTACATGTTCCACTGTTACACCAGCAGGAACTCAGAGGTACTGGAGGACTTCCTGGGGGAAGACTGGACATACACAATCAGTGACTTGTCTGTGGATGATTTCCTGCAAGATAGTGATGATGATAAGGATGACAGGGATGATTATCATAACTCAACCCCTGATGTCTTCCTGAAGAGAGCCATGCAGAAATCCCTCGACAGTAAAAATGGCCACCTGGACCTGTTTGTTCGCTTCCTTCATGGCCTCTCTCTGGAGTCCAACCAGAGACTCTTAGGAGGCCTGCTGGGTCGGACAGACAACAGTCCAGAAATCATCCAGAGAGCCATCAACAACCTGAAGGAGATGAACAGTAATAAGATCTCTCCTGACAGAAGCATCAACATCTTCCACTGTCTGACGGAGATGAACGACCTCTCAGTACATCAGGAGATCCAAGAGTTCCTGAAGTCAGAGAACAGATCAGAGAAGGAACTCTCTGTGTTCCACTGCTCAGCTCTGGCCTACATGCTGCAGATGTCAGAGGAGGTTCTGGATGAGTTGGACCTGAAGAAGTACAACACATCAGAGGAGGGACGAGTGAGACTGATTCCAGCTGTGAGGAACTGCAGAAAGGCTCGGTAAGTCCAGATGTGATTATCAACACTGTAAAGCTGAAGCATCAGTATTACAGTAAAGATACACACTTTACACACTCGCTCAATATAAAACTGAGAGACAGCTGGCTCAGTTAGTGGCATCGGCAGCTACCACTGGCATTTCTGGTGGTAGCAAGATGCCACAGCACCTTTCACAGTTTGTGTATTTCTGCTGGCAGGCGGCTCCTGCCTCTGTTTTATGTGGTATTTCCGGTGGCAATCTAAAAGATGTCTGATTGACACGAAACTTGGCACGGACCATCTCTGGACCGAGCCGAAGAAACTTTGTAGGGGGAATTTTGATCCGACATATGTCCCAATTACAAGCTAACAAATATTTGCGAAAACGCTAAAAACAGCAAGTATGACATATCTCTGGCATGGAAAGGCCGATTGTCACAAAACTTGAGGACCTTATGTGGCAAAATTTGGTACATTTAGCCCCTAGTTGGCGCTTTTCAAAAAAAGGACTGAACTCATTCCAGCCAAGCAATCTATCCACCATAACATCAAAATACAAAGTGACTCTGCAACCATCACTCCAACCAAGGTGGTGAGAAACTTGGGTGTCATGATTGATGACCAGCTGCCTTTTCAAACCATGTTGCTACTGTCTCTTGGTCATGCCACTTTGCGCTATACAACATCAGGAAAATCAGGCCCTACCTCACTCAGCACGCCACCCAGCTTATGGTACAGGCCATGGTGTCTTGGGCTGTGCAGAATTTGATACAGTTAGCCACTAGTTGGCGCTATTCAAAAAAATCCCATAGATTTACATGCATTTTAGATCTCCACAACCAAATTTACCTCACTCAGTACGCCACCCAGCTTCTGGTACAGGCCATGGTTTTCTCTCGCCTCAACTATTGCAATGCCCTCCTAGCAGGTCTCCCAGCTTGTGCGGTGAAACCCTTACAAATGGTTCAGAACGCAGCAGCGCGTCTGGTTTTTGATCAGCCAAAAAGGACTCATGTCATTCCATTACTCAGTGACCTCCACTGGCTCCCCGTGGCCTCCAGAATCAAATTCAAGTCACTCTTACTAGTATTTATTGCTGCTCTTGCTAGTATGTATTGTCAGTTTATCTCTATTTGATGCTCTGTTCATGCTTGTATGTTGTTCCTCGAATGTAAGTCGCTTTGGATAAAAGCATCTGCCAAATGGGTAAATGTAAACAATGAATGCCTCTTCATGTGTTTTGCTCCATTAGAACTGAGTTTGATTTCAGTAAGGAAGCTCTCTCTCTGGTAGGATTTGAATGGACTGGTCTGTAAACTGGTAAATTCCAAAGCTACTTTAGTAATGTTCATTGATAGAGAGCGTTTTTAAAGCTTAATATGAGAAATTATAACAGTTTGCAAACACAAACTGTCAGACAATGTGTTTCCTTTCTGCATCATTTCACAGCAGCAACAAGATATGCAGAGGAAACGGCAGCACACATTTCTCACCAGGTTCATTCTGCCAGTGAAGGAGAGCTCAGCAGGTTCAGTTCAGTGGGGGTGTTTTATCATCACCAAGCTCAGAGAAGAAGTTATGCTGTTAAACCGCTGAACTCCACTTGAGAAAATCTATTAACAATATTGCCTTAAGTACTAAATATACTATCAATGCAATATCAAATGTGCGGAGTCTATTTTTAGAATAAAGTGACCAGTTTTATTATACTTTAAGTTTTATATTCTCTTTCATGACAGACTTTCTTACTGTGGACTCTCAGAGACTCACTGTGAAGTTATGGCCTCAGCTCTGAAGTCCAACTCCTCCCATCTGAGAGAGCTTGACCTGAGTAACAACGATCTGCAGGATTCAGACGTGAAGCTGCTGTCTGCTGGACTGCAGAGTCCACTCTGTAGACTGGAGACTCTGAGGTCAGTTTGTGTATTTTGCTCTTGTCCAGTTTTATCTACCAAATTTAAATCCATGACAGAAGTTTTAAATTTCCTTCAGGTCTCTTGTTTCTGGGTTTGTCTAAGAGCAAATCACAACAGCTCTTTATTAAAGTTTGTTAGTATGAAAAGTTTGGCTCCAGATTTAGTCTGAAGGATAAATCCTTAAGTTTCCTTAATAATTGAGTTCAATGTGCTGTGAAATTACATCAATATTTACCTTTGTTTTTACATGTGAGACACGTTTTTGTAAAACAACTCATTTTCATAACTGTCTTTTTATAGAAAACCTTCAGAGCGCAGTGTTACAGGAAATGAAACATTTATACTTAACCCCCCCCCACACACGGTGTGTGAAGCATATTTCCAAATGCAGCTGTTTGAAGTTTCGTGTTTGATCTGTCACCACGAAAGAGATGCACCTAAAAACTATTTTTTAACATCGATTAATCTAACGACAAATTTGGTGATTGATTTAATAATTCAATATTTTATCCAATCATCCTGAAAATGAGACGCATAAAGTATTAGAATAATGATAATAGTGGCATATGTTTAAATGAGTCTAATTTCCACGTCACTGCTTTGTCATGATATTAATAATGATAACAGACCCTGTGTGTCAGATACTGAATCAGAAAAATACTGGACCTCAAATTCATCCTGGAAGATCGCTATTTTTACTAGTACTTTAAATAAACCCAGAAACTGACACACATGAAGAAACGTTTAGAAAAAATCGAGTAGAAAGTATCAAGTGACTACTGCTAACAGAAAACCTGTTCCTCGTGGTGATCATCCTGATATATCGGGCTTGTGTGGGGACAAAAAGTGAACGTGCTGCCGTCTCGACAAAGAGCTCCAGGATGCTTTCACTTGTTCGTGCTCAGCAGTTGTGCTGCAGTGAAGACATTTCCAGTTTGCAGAGCTCACAGAGCAACATGTTGTTGGGTCTCTGTCTAAAATTCTTTGATTGTTTTTTTTGGTCTGCAGCTCGTTCTCCGGGTGGAATCGCTGCTTTAACTGGACGCAGCACTTCACTGAGACCCGCAGATGCATGTTATGCAAATAAAGATATTTCCTAATCGATGACATCAATTTCGTGGATAATTGGGCCCAGCCCTACACCACATCATTTGATGTGACTTTGTGTTCTGACTCAGCCAGTAAACAGGAGCATAAATAATACACTACATTTGTACAGGAAGGAACTCGGTTACATTTAAGATGAAGAGAACGAGACTCTCTCTTTGCTCAGTGCACATTTGATCCAGTTAGAAGGACGACTGAGGATGAAGCTCACAGTCAGTCAGCTGTGTGTTGATGGAGATGACAGTGGTGATGAGGAGAGGCTAAATCTGTGCTTTGAAATGAGAACCAGAAGTGCTGGGACAGGTGTTAAAGAGCTGGAGTTTTGTATTTACTTAAAGGTTCAGTGTATAATATTTCTGAGGATCTGTCAACAGAAATGCAATATAAGATCCATAACTATGTTTTCAGTGGTGTATAAAGACCTGACATAATGAACCATTATGTTTTTATTAGCTTAGAATGAGACATTTATATCTACATAACGGCAGGCGCCCCTTTCCATGGACTTCAAAACTGAAACTTTCTCCTGGTTTTAAGAACTGTTCTGGTTTTCTACTTGAGCCTGTGGACGTAGTGACGCCCCTTAGATCCGGTCTTAAAGCAGCCTGGAGGTCTTTGTACAAAGAAAGATGCAGACCTGCAGTGGAGAATCCTTCATGGCGTTGTAGCCATGTAGTTATTAACGCTGCTGTAGAAGACAAATGTCCCTTCTGCAGTGAGAGACAGAGACGGTGTTTCACTGCTTCTCAGAGTGCATTCGTCTGACAGATTTGTTGGAAAACATTTTCAGTAGATGTGGAGAAGTTTTTCCGAAGCAGATTTTTATTTGTGGTTTTAGAGACACTCGCCGGAAGAAGAACAGATGTCAGCTACTGAACTTTGTTTCAGGACAGGCAAAGATGGCGGTGTATATGACCCGGAGACGGAAGGTGGAGGAAGGGTTAGATGTTGATGTGGTTCTTGTTTGTGAGAAAATGGTTCAGTCCAGACTGCTGTTAGGTTTCAGTTTTTACAGAGCTGCACATGACCTGGATACTTTTGAGCTGGTTTGGGGTTGTGGGGGGGCGTCTGCTCTGTGACAGAGGGGCAGTTAAGACACGGGCCGTAAGGCTACCCGAAGAAGCCCTTCACATGAAGACGAAGGCCCAACAGGTGACCCACCCCCCAGTCTTGACTGTCTGTTTAGATCGCTAAAATGAGCAGCACACTGAGTGTTGCTACAGATGTCTCAACTATTAAAGAAACGACAACGGAGTTGAAAGCGACAGTGACGTCTATGCAACAAAGTCTGGCAGAAGTACAAACACGCATTTAGCGCCTAGAGGAGACCTCAGAGCGGCTACACGCAGATGGTGACAAGAGAAACAAGCTAGTGGACGCAATGTGGGACAGCATTCAAGCCCTGGAAAATCACAGCAAAAGGAACAACGTGAGGCTCATAGGCCTGAAAGAGACTTTTGGGACCAATGGGACATTGTTGAGCTGTGTCCAGAAAAATTTGACGGAGGGGCTGGGGGTCTGGGCTGATGCCGAGTTTGAGGTGGAGAGAGCACACTGTTTGCTTGCACCGTTGCCGGACCCGGAGTGCCCCCCCCCCACGACCGGTGCTGATACGGTTTCTGAGACAGTCAGCGAGAGCCAAGGTGATATCGGCGGCTAAGGAAAAACGGGGCTTCATATGGGAAGGATGTCGACTGTCTGTATTCCCGATATGACAAAAGAGTTGGCGGAGAAGAGGAAAACCTTCACCCCCGTGAAGCGCAAACTGCAAGAGCGGGATGTGAGGTACACGCTGGCCTTCCCGGCCACACTGAGGTTTAGGTGGCGGGGGAAGAATGTGAGTTTCACTGCAGCAACAGCGGAAAAATTCATTGACTACAACGACCAAGGCGATGACTAAACAGGGGGTAATAAGCGGATATTTAACGTTTGTATGGAAGAGCCACATACATGTTGTGAAGACGGGTGTCAGAGGAGAGGGACCCGTCTGGCAGCTGCCAAGGACGGAGGATTTCAGGCGGGAGGAGCGGTAACCCACGGACCAGATAAGGTTTTATTTTAGTTTTTTATTTTTAGGCAGCATATGTCATCTACGGGACTGTCAGACTTTTTCTGGCTTGAATTTAGGTTTTTGACTTTGGTTATAGTTTTTCTTTTCCGAATATTGTACTGGAAACGTTCTTTTTCCCGGTTAAATGTTAGTAAAAAATCCTGTACTCTGACAAAATATGAACACTATGAGAACACATAGACATAGACATAGCCCTACAGATGAACAGTGATTCAAACCGGAACAGTGAGGTAGATATAGGTATGGAGGGCCATTTGGACAAAGATGATTAAGAAATGTATTAAGTACATGTCATGGAATATTAATGGAAGTGGAAATCCATTCAAAAGACGTAAGGTACTGTCATATTTAAAAAGGCTGATGTAGTTTTCATACAGGAATCTCACTTGAATGAGGGGGAGGCAGCTAAATTCAAAACAGGCTGGGTGAGGTATGTTTTTCACAGCTCACTCTCTCAAGTTCACGAAACGGAGTTATGATCTTGGTTAACAGGGGGATCCATTTTGTGTTGCTTAAAGAAGTTAAAGATACAGAGGGACGAATGATATGTGTCCAGGCATTAATAGAAGGTACGCAGGTGATACTATGTAATATTTATGCGCCTAACAAGGGAGACCCACACTTCTTTCATGAAGTCAATAGGGTTTTAGGGAAAATGGACGTGCAAATTATCTTGGCAGGAGACTTTAACCAAGTGATGGACCCTATATTAGACAAAAGTCAGTTTAAAGGTCCACTGATGACCAAAGATAGGGAAGCAATTCATATGTTAAAAGGTGACATGGCGCTTGTGGATGTCTGGAGGCTTACTAACCCACTGAAGAGGGAGTACACTTTTTTTTTTTTTCACTGTCATAAGTCACACTCCAGAATAGATTTTTTTTTTTTTTTTTTTTTTTTTATCGCAAGCCCCTTAGTAAACAGTGTAGTTAGTTGCAGTATAAGAACTATTGCTATCACAGATCACGCAGCGGTGGAATTATTTATAAACACAGAATTGGACATTGGAAGGAGGACTAGATGGAGAATGAATTTATCATTACTACAGGACAAAGACTTCAGGTCATCGCTGGGAAAGGATTTGAAATCTTTCTTTGACTTAAACATTGGCAGTACTAAGGACATTGCAACTGTCTGGGAGGCCTCTAAAGCATATATAAGAGGGAAACTAATCGCTCACTCGGCTCAAAGGAAAAAAGACAGAATCAAAGAATTAGAAGGTGAAATTAAATTAAAGGAAAATAATTCTTCTCAGAATCACGATATCAGGAACTTTGTAAGCTTAAGTTTCAGCTGCACGAAATCTTTAACAAAAAAGCAGAATATTCTTTATACAGATTAAAAACAAATTTTTATGACAGTGGGGAAAAAAACTGGGAAGATACTAGCTAGACAAGTGAAAGAAAAGGACTCCTCGAATATAATCTTAGCAATCAAACAGGGAACTAAATTAGTAACCTCTAAAAAAGATATAAATGAGACATTCCAACAATATTACAAGAAACTATATACATCAACAGTATCCGGCAATGAAGATCAAAAAAATTCATTCTTTAACATTAATATGCCTAAGCTTAACCTTGATCAAGCAAGGAAGTTAGAATCACCTATAACGGTGGCAGAAATAAGGAAAGCTGTGTCATTAATGAATACTGGGAAATCACCACGATACAGCATATTTCCTGTAGAATACTATAAAGAGTATATAGAAATTTTTGCTCCTGTCTTGGTGAAGGTGCATCAGGAGGCTTTTGAAAAAGGCCACATGCCGCCAACATTTAATGAAGCTTTAATATCTCTGATCCCAAAAAAAGATATAACAGATCCATCTAATTTTAGACCCATTAGCCTGCTTAATCTAGACTTTAAAATATTGACAAAAGTGCTGGCTTCACAGCTCCAACAAGTTTTACCAAATATTATACATCCCAACCAAGCAGGCTTAATGAAGAACAGATCCTCATCGGACAACATGAGGAAATTAATACATCCTAAGTGGTTTGCATTATCCAAAAGTGCGCCAAGAGTTGCTATTTACCTAGATGCCGAAAAGGCTTTCGACGAAGTGGAATGGAGTTTTCTCTTTTCCGCTCTTTCACATTTTGGTTTTGGCCCCTATTTCTCTCAATGGGTAAAGACATTATATAAAGAAACAAAAGCAGCTGTAATTACCAATGGAGTTATATCACCCTTTTTCAGCCTGTCAGGAGGCACCCGCCAGGGCTGCTCTTTGAGCCCCCTATTGTTTATAATTTGTCTAGAAACACTGGCTGTTAGTATCAGAAACAATGGGAGTATTAAGGGAGTAGAGGTCGGGGGAGAGGAACATAAATTGCTGTTATATGCTGACGATATCTTAGCCGTAGTGACAGACCCTGAGGTGTCCTTACCACATCGGTCAGGTTACATAATCAATTGGAACAAATCCGAAGCTATGCCCATGACTTCCACATGCCACCGTTACATAGTGGAAAAGCTTAAATTTAAGTGGGTACCAGAAGGCATGAAGTATCTTGGAATTAAACTCTGTCAAGACTTAGAAGAGATGCCTTTGTTAAACTTTAATTCAGTGTTGCAAAAAATTAAAACAAATCTGGCAAAAGATAAAACTTACCCTGTGGGGAAAAGTCAATAAAAGTAATACAACAAACCCAATTCTTGTTCAGTCTAGGGAAGTGTGGGCTAAGGTGCACAAAATGTATAAAGTGTCACAATATGTGCAGACATATGCTTCATTGTGGTTTAATCCTGCCATACATATTGTTAAAAAGTCAGTGTATTCAAATGGTATATGTACTATAGGAGACCTTTAAAAAAAAAATGGACAATTCATGTCTTATGAAGAATTATCGCGTCAATTTAAACTCGAAGGCAAACAACATTTTTGGAAATACATACAAATTAGGGACTCTGTAAAATCTCAAATTGGTAATTGGGACAGGAAATGATATTCTGGACTATCTGAATGCACCACGCGAATGCTTCACCGCTTCGCAATTCTATAAACTAACAAACTACTCAGTAAGTGGTGAGTCCTCTAATGTGAAATTGTTATGGCAAAGAGATCTGAGTACGAGCTTTACAAAAAATGGCTGGGTATACTAGCAGACTGTGGAAAGTATGTAAGAGAGGCAAGAGGGAAGTTCACACAATATAAGATCATACATAGATACTATCATACCCCTGTCAAATTACATATAATGAAACTGATGTGTTAGAAGTGTAAAACAGAGGTAGGAACTTTTCTTCACTGTGTATGGGAATGTGGATTGGTGAATCCATTTTGGGTTAAAGTTGTGGACTTCTTGAGTAACTGGTCAGGCTCAGTGATTCCTCTGACTCCTGCTGTATGTCTACTAGGGGACAGATCACAAATACCGAATATCTCAAAGGGAACCTTTTCTGTCATCATGGTGGGCTTGGTCACAGCTTCCAGAGTTATTTTAAGACACTGGAAAACTGCTGTATCTACTAATCTGAGAGACTGGACTAATGCAATGGTGGAGACCGCATCCTATGAGTCTATGCTTCAGACTGTCAGCTAACAAGGAGAATGGGATGATCTCTTGGGATCTTTTTTGGACATACACAAGGACTAATGAAAACTCAACCTAAGAAATTACAGGCAAAATATAGCTCCATTCCTTTTTTACTTTTATTCTCACTCTGACATGTCAGAATATGTTTATGCCAAGACTCTGTAATGCTCAACCCTGTACTCACATACTCTGCCTTAAGAATTCAATAATTTAAATGAGAAAAAGAAATGTTGGTGTTAACAATCGTCTCTCTCTCTCTCTCTCTCTCTCTCTCTCTCTCTCTCCCCCCCTCTCTCTCTCTCCCCCCCCACAAAGTGAATCCCTTGCTGCTGTCAGTCATTTAAACGTTTCCATGCTCGCAGTGATGTCACAGTTAATATCGTGGGACATTTATGCAGCAAAACAAATAAATGGAGTTAAAAACTTGACAGGTCAGACAGAGGAAACTCTGCAGAGGAAACTTTCAACTTTTAGTGTCTGAAATGTTTTGACTCTCTGATGGAGCTCAGGACTGATCAGGAGGACGGCTGCTTTACTCCAAACAGTGTCAGCAAGCTAACACGCTATTTAAGAACAGTCCGTGTTGATGCAGTCTGCAAGTAGAAGGATCCGTCAGAACCAATCATCAGCCGGCAATCTGACAGCTGACTTAACGTTTCATCCACAGACTTAGAAATAATAAAACAAACAGACGTAACGCTCTTCCTGATTATCAGCTTCTATTCCACATCATGTTTTTAAAGAAATGATAATAAAATAGATAAATACAATGAATAAATAAATAATCTCTATTTCAACTATCATACAATAACAAATATTTCCATTTTCTAAACTTCTACATTCTAAACCTTCTTCAGCTCTGAACAGATTATTAAACACTGAATGATTTCAAGCAGGAACATTGTCTTCTAACGTTACATCATTTATTCTTTATTCAGATTGTGGAGCTGCAGGTTGTCAGAGATCAGCTGTGCTTCTCTGGTCTCAGCTCTGAAGTCCAACCCCTCCCATCTGAGAGAGCTGGACCTGAGTAATAACAAGCTGCAGGATTCAGGAGTGAAGCTGCTGTGTGGTTTTCTGGAGGATCCACACTGCAGACTGGAGACTCTGAGGTCAGACACCATTTTTTCCTTCTGTGCTGAGATTATTATGATGTGAAAGTTGTGGTGACACTAAAGTGCAGACATAATGCTGATATTATACTGATCCACACTGAGGATCTTAATGCTAAAGTCTCTTTTCTTCTTCAGTGGTTTAGTCCATTGACTGTGGCAGAGCAATGTTGAGCTCCACATTTAAAATCTTAATATAACAAGAAACACTCCACTGGATAATTCACCCTGAACCTCTTTGTTACGTCCCGGCTCGATGGGTAAAGAAAGCAACATAAACTGGATGTTTTTGGTGAAAAGGTGTTTAATTGGAAAGTGAGAGTTTAACACAAATGTAGAACCACAGTAAAGGACCTTCTGGGTTCTGCTTAAACCATAAAAACAAGAGAACAAAAAGAGGTCTCCACTAAGAGAGACAGTTACCAAGCTCCACAAAATAAAGTGAAACAAAAGAAGATCTCTCTTCAGCTCCAAATGGTTTTAAAAGGCAAAACACAAAGAGAGCAGCAGCCATAACCCTAGAGAGGCTAACAGGGGAATACTAAGACAACACAAAGGGGTCAGGAGTGAAACTAAACCTTGTCCCAGTCCCACAGCTAGAATTAATAAAGAACAAACACTCCAGATCAGGGGTCGGCTAATAAGTCTGGCATCGGACCACATTTCTTTCAAGCTGTTAGATGGCGGTCCAGAAATGATTGTCCTTCAGAACTTTTCAAATGTCAGTCTGGAGAACCGGGACAAATCCCGGAGGTTGGTAGAAGGTTGAGCGTCACGGGCCGACCCCCGTTCTCCCCGGGCCTCTTGGTCTATTCCAGATGAACGTCTGTCCCTTCCACTGACTGGAAAACGAGCTACAACAGAAAATGGAAAAGCAGAGTTTCACTGAAATGCAAGTAAATGTAAAAAAGTAACTTGTTGAGAATTATTTTAGAACATTACAGCCTAAATTCTTATTATTAATGGCTAGAGCAAAGGTGGTCTGCATTGGCATCATTTAAGTATTAACCTAAGTATTATTTTATAGTGTAAAGTTAAGATCACAGTATTAAGACTCTATAGCTCTGATTGTGTGTGTGGTCCTCTCTGTGTGTAACTGCCCAGAGGCAGTAGCGTGTGTGTGTGTGTGTGTGTGTGTGTGTGTAAGCAGGCATGTGTGCTATGGGAGCAGAATGAGCAGCAAGGCATCATCAACAACACCAGCAAAGGAAAATGTAGAAGCAGAATTAGTGAAAATTGTGTTACAAAACATATATCAATACAGTAAGAATGTCCTGTCTATAGCACAGAGCACAAGAGACACCAGCTTATTCCACAAAGTCAGGTTTTTGGTTAAAAAAGTATGATCAGCAGATGAATTATCAAATGTAAAAACTCCTTAAGCCTATTTGACAGACATTTAGACAAGATTTCATACTCTGTTGTTAATAAAGCAACAGGTCTCCAGTTCTTCAGCAGAGTCAAGTCTCCCTTTTTGGTAGTAGGGACAACACAGCACGTTGACATGTGGCAGGTAGAATGCCATCCTTATAGCTTTCACAGAACACTTCATAAAGATCCACTCCAATGTATTTCCAGAACTGTTTGTAAAAATCAGAAGTCAACCCATCAATCCCAGGAGAGCGTTCAGAATTCAACTGTCCAACAGCAATTGTGAGCTCTTGAAAGGTAATTTGTGTGTCCAAAGCAGTCTTAGAACCAGAGTCTATTTGAGGAAGTCCTTGCAGAAGTTGTGCTGCACAACTAGAGTCACAATGCTCAGCTTTATAGAGAGAAGAATAAAAATCAACAGCATGACGGCGCATTTCTATAATGTCATTTGTAATCTTCCCATTTGGAAGACGTAAACATGTCATCTGCTTAGATTGCGACACTGAGCGTTCTAAATTAAAAAAGAAAGCACTTGGGGCATCCATTTCAGTGACCGATGTAAAGCGTGACCTCACCAAAGCTGCTTTCACCCTCTCATTCAAATAAACACTTAGCTGTTTCTTTTTCTGTTGCAAGTTATTGATACAAGCTGGTCATTTCTTATAATCATTTCTGCCTCTATCGACTCTATATCTCTTTCAAGAGCTTGAATTGTTTCTCTTTGAGTAGTTGTAGAATATGCAGTGTATTGTTGACAGCATAATTTTATCTGAGTTTTTCCAACCTCCCACCATTGCTTTAGATTTTCAAAATCATTTTTCTTCCCTTTCCAATGATTCCAAAAAACCTCAAAATGTTTGGAAAACGAAGCATCCTGCAACAGTTTGGCATTAAAATGCCAATAAGATTTTTTTTGGAATTTGTACCATATTTACTGAAATAAAAACCAGATGATGGTCAGAGAAACCTACTGGAGAAATAACACAATCAATAATCCTGTAATTAAAATTTTTTGAAGCATAAATTCTGTCTAAGCGAGCAGCACTAACTCTGTTGTCAGAAATTTTAACCCACGTATACTGTTTATCTGCTGGATGCTTAATTCTCCACATATCTAAAAGTTCAGCCTCTTTCACCAATCTTGACAAATAATTAGATGAAAGCAAGTGAGGCTCCACATTATTACGGTCAACATTGAAACATTCAGTACAATTCCAATCCCCACCAATAATAATGTCACCATCGCTAAAATCCTGCTTTAAGACATTAGCTAGCTTTATAAAAAACTGTAATCGCTCATTTCCTACATTTGGTGCATAAACATTTATAAAATAAATTTTCATCCCTTCAATAATAGTTTTTACAAGAAACAAGCGACCTTTTACAAATTCTTCAGTTTTTTCAATACTAACTTTTATACCGGGAGAAAAAAGAACAGCAATTCCAGCGCTCAAATTTGTGCCATGGCTAAGTACATGCTGACCTTTCCACCACATTCCCCACTCAACTTCATTATCCATATCGCTATGTGTTTCTTGCAATAGAATGACATGTAACTTTTTGTCTTGCATAATTTCAGACACCAAAACTCGTTTGTGACTATCCCTCCCACCATTAATATTTAATGAACCCACCCTCAAAAGATCCATATATAAGTTTAGGGAGGAGAGAAAAAAGACAACAGCAGAAAAAAACAGAAGAAACAAAGAAGAGAACACCGCGTGATGCATGGCTAAATGTTTACAAAAAAGCTTTCATCCTCTTCTTTTTATCCCCCATTCTACTTTTTCTAATGACTGTAACATGTTTCTTTAAACGAAAACGTTTCTTTTCACTCAACTGATCAAGATTCCCAGTCTTTTGAAGAACCGCCACTGACCTCTCAAATTTTCCTTCATCAGGGAAAAATTCTTTAATGTTTACTTGTTTTCCAAATGTCTCATCAAGGAACCCATTAATTTCCTCTAATGTATATAAAGAGGGGTGTTTGGTAGACATATCTTGAGAATCACCGTCAAGTCCACATACAGACCCTCCCTGGGAATCACATTCATAATCGAGAAGAGAAACATTTTCGTCAGATGCATTGTCATCATCTACTGCACTACCATCGTTACTGAAACACAACTCTCTTTTTCTTGTAGCCAACATAACAGACTCACACCTGCTTGGCCCTGCAATTTCCACACCATCATCTTGCTGCTCATCAGCATTGATATTTTGAACAGTATTTGCAATATTTTCATACACATTAGTCACAACATTCTCATGTCCTTCACTGGCGGACGGCGCCGCACCAGAATCGCTCACCTCAGCTGGGCCTGCGTGTTCCTCTGGAGCCGCGCGCTCGCGCACCGCCGCATCTCCCTCTCCAGAGACAGTGGGCCCCTGCCTATCCTCTGTGTGGGCATACAAACCTTTTATGCCCTAAATCGCCACAATCGAAGCACCTTAAGCTACCAGTGCTTGCGTACATCATATACGTTTTACCTTCGTCTCGTACTCGGAATGAAACATCCAGCGTGTTTTCAGAGGAGTCTAGAAACATAAACACCTGTCTTCTGAAAGATTTGACGTGTTTCAGAGACGGGTGTTTACAGCCTAACGCAATTGTTTTGAAACCACTGGCAAATTTACCAAACCGTACTGGTTCCTGCTCCAACGCTTCATCCGGAATGAAAGGTGGAACATTCGATACCGTAATTTTAACTGGCGGCGCGTATAACGGGGTAACCTGAACAAAGTTGTCATTTATAACAAGGCCATTCTCGATTAAACGATTAACAAGGTTTTGTTCTTTCAAGAACACCACTACAGCTTTGTTCATACGAGAAGCGGACACTATATTCTCGTGTCCTACTTCCCCTCCAGCCGAAATAAGCACATCTTCCACTGTGACGCCATCCTCTGGCGCACACCTGAAGCCATTACGCAAGGACAAAGACGGCATCTCTTCATGAGACGCCATCTCTTCCCGCGCAATAACCGCAACAAATAAAACCTAGGTCACAAACTTACTTTTAACCATGCAGAAAAAAAAGAACAAAAGTCCCCGTAAATAATACTAAGTGAAAACACACAGCTCAGATCTCACTCAACCCTGCCACTCACACACACACACACACACACACACACACACACACACACACACACACACACACACACACACACACACAGAGCTGTCTGCAGACCATAGGATCGGCTTCATCCTCCGGCCTGCTGGGATGTTGACGGGTTTATTTTTCCAGTTTTGGAATAAACTTTTTGCACCGACTCTTGACCGTCTCCAGAGAAGTTTTTGATTGCAAATTTATTGACTATAATAGAAAGCTAATGGAGTATTTTTTGACAAAGTTTATAAAGCTGGTGAAGGTGGGGACCAGGCTTAACTGGCCCAGCCTCGTCGCACATCTGACCCAACAAACGACTGGCTCTGTAGTAGTACCAGCACCAGGGCCACAGACGCTGAGACCGGGCCACAGATAGTGCAGCTGAACAGTACAGGGTTCCCATACATGGATTTATTTGTGGCGGCCGCCTCAGTATCAACGCTGACCGCCACATGTTGATTTTACATTTTTTACTGGGCCTGTTAAAAATGGTATTTCCCCCCTCTCTCAATTCAAATT